CATTGTTGTTTGGCGGGTCCGGGCTGGGGATTTGAACCCACCACCTTAGGTGTACGTGGCTGGCGCCTTAGCCGGTTGAGCTATAGGCGCTGAGCCAACACAGACTCTTGTATTTCAAACCTGGGCTGCTTTCTGTGCATTAAACCAGGTGAAGTTAGCTGCTTCCTAGCTTGTTCTCTCTCTCTTCCTTTCCATGCCTGCAGGTATCTTGCTTCAATGAGTTAGAGATCTGCATCCATCCTGATGGAGTCATCCCAGTGCTGACTTTCCTTAGAGATCACACCAATGCACAATTCAGGTCCTTGGCTGACTTGACAGCAGTGGATATTCCAACTCGGCAGAACCGTTTTGAGGTCAGTCAGGAGATTGCAGGAGGTTTGGGGAGTACAGGTAGGAAAGAGTAGTTTCAGGGTAACAACTACCTTATGGGTACTATAACCTCAGTTTGGGTCAAACAATACAATCCAGGCTTCAGAATCAAGCATTTCATACTCAAGTATGAATCCTGGCTTTCCCATAGAATACCGTGTGACCTCAAAGGTTTTCTTTGATTTTTCTGAGCTTTAACGTTCTTGTTTGTGAGGTAATTATAAAGTTGTCCCTATCTTCGGGGCGGCGCCTGTGGCTCAGTGAGTAGGGCACCGGCCCCATATGCCAAGGGTGGCAGGTTCAAACCCAACCCTAGCCAAACTGCAGCAAAAAATAGCCGGTGGTGCCTGTGGCTCAAAGGAGTAGGGTGCCAGCCCCATATACCGGAGGTGGCGGGTTCAAACCCAGCCGTGGCCAAAAAAATAAATAAAGTCAAAAATAGTTGGGTGTTGTGGTGGATGCCTGTGGTTCCAGCTACTTGGGAGGCTGAGGCAAGAGGATTGCTCAAGCCCAAGAGTTTGAAATTGCCGTGAGCTTTGATGCCACAGCCCTCCAGCCAGGGTGACAGTGAGACTGTCTCAAGTAAAAAAAAGGAATTAAGCCTACTGAAGGTGCAGGTTGTATATACAAGGGAGATATTCCAGACAAAGGGGTATCTTTTACATGAGCAAAGACAGGTAGTGTTCCAAGGCCTTTGAAAATAATTGGGCTCGGCGCCTATAGCTCAACCGGCTAAGGCGCCAGCCACGTACACCTAAGGTGGCAGGTTCGAATCCCCAGCCCGGACCTGCCAAACAACAATGACGGCTGCAACCAAAAAATAGCCGGGCGTTGTGGCGGGCGCCTGTGGTCCCAGCTACTTGGGAGGCAGAGGCAGGAGACTCGCTTGAGCCCAGGAGTTGGAGGTTGCTGTGAGCTGTAATGCCATAGCACTCTACCCAGGGGGACAGCTTGAGGCTCTGTCTCAAAAAAAAAAAAAAAGAAAATAATTGTAAGCATAGGAGAATCTTGATGTAAAAATATCAGAATAGAAAGAAAAGCTTCAGAATTAGAAAACAAGGGTCATAGGGTGGGGGCCAAACCCACCCTGTATTCTCTGGTATAGTGACACTCCCAGCCAGGGATTCCCACTACAGACCCCTCACTCTATTGCCATGTGGGTCCTCCAGCTCCCTCTGTTCTCTCTAGATTGTCTACAACCTACTCTCTCTGCGCTTCAACTCACGGATTCGTGTGAAGACCTACACAGATGAGCTGACACCCATTGAGTCCACTGTCTCTGTGTATAAGGCATCCAACTGGTATGAGAGGGAGGTGAGTTGCTGGGCACAGTGGACCTTGCCTCTGGGCCAGATTTGTGGAACTAGTTAAAACTATGGGATATAGGGCAGCCCATTACTCTTGTTGTTGGCCTGATGGACTGGTTACCTGAGAATCTCTTTTCTAGATCTGGGACATGTTTGGAGTCTTTTTTGCTAACCATCCTGACCTAAGAAGGATTCTGACAGATTATGGCTTTGAGGGACATCCTTTCCGGAAAGACTTCCCCCTGTCTGGCTATGTTGAGGTAGGAGCCTTGGATCTGGGGCAGCATCCTCAGGAAGGGACTCTCAGGGAACTTAGTGTATCCTGGGCATGGCGGGAAATATGGTCTGTGGATTGTGATGGTTTAAGAGCATGGCCTCTAGATTAAAAACCTAGCTTCTTTTACTTAGTGTGATCATGACTTAGTTTTCTCATCTATAAAATGGGAATAATAGCACTTAATATATTTGTGGCAGGCGTTAAATGATCTATTTGTAAAGCCTGGTGTCTTGTACATGTTCAACTGGTGTTAGCCATTGTAATGATTAGGGCAGCCTTGAGGACACAGTCTGTCCCTAAGACCTGAAAGTTGAGGATTATTTCACCCTGCCCTAGATCTCTGGAAAGACAGTTGACAGGGATGACACTAAATGTTCAGCCCTCAAGAATAGCCACTGGGTTCGGCGCCCGTAGCTTATGCAGCTAAGGCGCCAGCCACATACACCAGAGCTGGTGGGCTTGAATCCAGCCTGGGCCTGCCAAACAACAATGACAGCTACAACCAAAAAAATGGCTGGGTGTTGTGGCAGGTGCCTATAGTCTCAGCTACTGGGGAGGCTGAAGCAAGAGAATTGCTTGAGCCCAGGAGTTGGAGGTTGCTGTGAGCTGTGATGCCACGGGACTCTATCCAGGGCAATAGCTTGAGGCTCTGTCTCAAAAATAAAAAGAATAGCCACTGAGGCAGGACTAATAACTATAAGGACCTTAAAAAAATTTCACTGATAATGCAAGTTAGCAGGAAGATAAGTTTTATAGTGAGTTTTATAGCAAAGTTAACTTTTTAGAAATAATGAGATTTGTGGCCCTCTAGCCTGTTCCTGTAGACCTCAGATGCTCCTGATTTCTTAGTGCTTTGCATATTCCCATTTCTCTCTTGGGTACTTCTGATCAAAGCTACTTCTCTTCTCTGTCTCCTTCCTTTCATTCTTCCTTGCTATCTCCCTTACCTGGTTTGCCTGTTCACCCCAGCACCTGATTATCCTTATTCATTCATTTGAACTCTGAACAATAAGAAGAGACGTGCTGGATGTGCTGTGGCTTCACAGCTCACAGCAACCTCAAACTCTTGGGCTTAAGCGATTCTCTTGCCTCAGCCTCCCAAGTAGCCGGCACTACAGGCATCCACCACAATGCCCCACTATTTTTTGGTTGTAGTTGTCATTGTTGTTTTGGCAGGCCTGGGCTGGGTTTGAATCTGCCAGCTCCAGTGTATGTGGCTGGTGCTCTAGCTGCTGAGCCTAGTTTTTTTTTTTTTAGACAGTCTCACTGTGTCACCCTTGGTAGAGTGCTATGGTGTCATAGCTCACAGCAACCTCAAACTTTTGGGCTTAAGCGATTCTCTTGCTTCAGCCTCCTAAGTAGCTGGGACTACAGGTGCCTGCCACAATGCCCAGCTATTTTTTGTTGCAGTTGTTGTTTTTAGCTAGCCCGGGCTGGGTTCAAACCCACCACTGTTGGTGTATGTGGCTGACACCGTAACCACTTTGCTATGGGTGCTGAGCCTTAGTTTTTTTTTTTTTT